TAATGTTTTACTTTTCTTAGCAAATGTGAAAAATCCTAATATTCATTAAACCACTATCCTTTTCTTTAAGTACATTATGTCATCTAACTTTGTGAAGCAGATACTACTGCCAATTTACAGGTAACCAGACCAAGGCAGAGAAATGTCTCTAAGAAACTTGCCAAGGGAGGCCAACAGGTGGAGTGGTGGTTAAAGCACTGGACTCCCACATGGCCAACTGCAGTTCAAGTCTCAGACCTGGTGGCTTGCTTTCCCACTTTCCCATTCTCTTTCTCAGTCTCTCTCTGGTCAAATTAAAAAATAATAAATAAAATAAAACAAATCATTCTTAAAAAAAGAAAAAAAAGAGAAAGAAACTGGCCAAGGTCAGACAGGTTAATATCCAATCAATTCTTCCTGATTTGCAAGACCTCTTTTCAGTAAACCCTAACTTCTTCCATAGAATAAATTAAGTTACATTAAAATTAAACAATGGAACCCATATTCTTGTTAATATACTTATTTTAAGAGTATATGTTTGTGTACACAAAAAGGTAAGAGTGACTCAAAATTGTTTAAGTCATGTTTTTAAAAGATCATTTTTAAAGAAGACTTAAATTATCCTTTTCTGGGACTAGCAGATGGTGTAATGCTTACATCACTGGACTCCCACATAGTCGATCGCAGTTTGAGTCCCGGAGCTGGCAGCTTAAAACTCACACTGGGATCATGTGCATGAGTGCCCAAAATCCCAAGAGGAAAACAGAGGAGAAGGGATTGCTGTGTGGTCATTCCTCTGGGGGATGATTTCTCACTTTCTGTCTCTTTGTCTCTGTCTCTCTGTTGAACACATGTGCCCTCCAGCAAAAATCTCTCTCGAAAAAAAAATTATACTTTTCTTCCAACTAACATTTTAACCATCTCAGGAAACTTTAATATCTGTACATCACAAATCAGATTTTTTTAATTTAAAAAAAATGCCTTTTTATTTTTGAGATTTATATGAGCAATAGAGACTGATCTGTTATCAAAATACCTCCAATTCAATTAATTATTAATGCTAATTTTGACATTTTGCCATACAGTATATATTTGGAGCAGAAGAGCCATCAAAATGGTATTATTTAACTCCTTGATTATTAAAGAAAATGTTCTTTATAAATTTTTTTAATATAGAAAAATATAAAGATAAAAGTAACCATGCATTATATCAACATGCAAAGATTATAACCACTGCTGACATTATGCTATCATTACCATTTTATACAAGGTCAAGATCATACAGTAATCATATTTTCTAATCTGTTTTTTTAAATTGTATATTGTGGCATTCTCATCCACTACTACAATTTTATGAAACACATACTAGTTTAAAATGAAACAAATTCTTGAGAAAATATTTCAGAATATAAAACAAAAAGATGAAATACAGAAGAAATTTTTTTAATTAGTGAGAAATGATTCAAGAGGTCCAAAATATAACAACTATAACTTATAGTCATCTTAGATGAAAAGACAGAGGAAAGGATATTTTCAAAGAAACAGATAAGAAAGTTTCCTAGAATGGAAGAAAACAAAATTTCAGACTAAAAGGATCCACCAGGCATTAAGCACAATGAAGAAATAAAGAATTGCCGTCGTGGTGAAATTTCAGAACACTGGTGCCAAAGAGATGGTCTTTAAAGTTTCTAGAGAGGAAGTAAAGGTTGTGTAAAAAGGATCAAGAGTAAGAATGGCACTAAACTCTCCCACAATACTAAGAAGAAGGTTATGAAGGTAATGTTTTCAAATTCTCAGACAAAGCTGTTTCTCAACTAAAATTCTATACCTAAACTATCAATTAAGAATAAAGAAAAAAGCATTTTCAAACAAGTAAGGTCTCAAAAAAAAAAAAAAATCCACTAATTTTCCATGTACCTTTTCTGAAGCAGCACACTGAAAACTTGTTTCAGGGATGGTCTGGTAGCCTACTGATTAAGGGAGCCATGGCCAACAGTGGTTTGAATCCTGGCCCCAGTGGCTTGAAAAATATGCCAAGCATGTGTAAACATGCTCCAAATCCCAATGGGATGGAGGAATGGAAGAAAAGGGACTGCAACTGAGAGCTGCTTTCTTCCTCTCTCTGTTTCTCTCTGGTGAGCACACACACCATCTAGCAATTTTAAAAAACATGTTCCACTATTATCCCCAGAAATGTGTGTAACTATTATATCCTAATAGAAAAAATATTTTTTTAATATTTAAAAATTATTTTAATAAGAAAAAAAGTGTTCCACCAAAATGAGAAAGAAAAACAAGCAGGATGCAGAAAATAGGGGCCAAAAAGGAAGAGGCAAGAATCCAGAATGGTGGTCAAGGAGGACCCTAGAACAGAAGCTGATAAAGACACTGGAAGGTTGTCAGTCCAGATTATAAACCACCTAAGGGTCTTTCCCTCAGGAAAATTACACTGAGAAGCCACTAGAGGCAGAGAAATAATAAAAACATAGAAAGTCAATCAGGTGAAATGAGTGATGCTAGGAAAGGACATATACCCATAATACATTACTTGGTTCACCTACGAAAAAATATTGATATGGTCATTAATAATGTAAGCAGTGAAATCAACTTAGCCAAAAATTATGGTTTACCTATTCTAGCAAATAGGAAAAGGTCAAGTCAAATAGGGCAAAAAGTGAGGAAGAGGTTTGCAGAAGAGAGTTAAAACTGACACTCCAGCATGGACATTAGTAGATAATTCCAAGGAATGGCATACAGTCCTGTGCCTCAGAAACGTGAAGATAAACTCCAGAGTAAAGTTAAAAGTTGTTGCTTCTAAGGAAGAAGCCTGTTAAGGATATACTAGTGTTTTCTACATAAACCTTTCAGTTCTAGCACTTTAAAAAACGTAGAACCAATCCACAGCATACAATAAATATAACTGGTATGTCTCATTTTTTCAAAGGGCACCTTATTTCTCAGTATCATTCATCTCTATTCTCCTAACCCTAAGGTCCATGGTCAGAATGTCTTTCTGCTTTGTTTGTGGCTCTATCTCTAGCATATAAAATGTACACCTGGCATGTAGCAGGTACTCAATAAATACCAGCTAAATAAATGAATGAGCTACTGGATAGGCTTGATAGGGTCCAAGAACCCCTTGCAATTGTAACAAAAGGCAATGTGTTTATTTGCATGAGGATATTTCTCTAAAAAGAGGGTTTACAACTTTCATCAGATTCTCAAAAGCAGCCAAAGTACAAAAGAGCTTAAGAATCAAAGGCCTGGTGAGTCTTCAGAAAGATTCAACTCAGTTTTTAAAATATCTCTCAAATCATTCGAATAAAGAGATGCATTTCCTCCTTCATATGGTCACTTAACTCTTTCTAATCAAACAAAACTACAGACACCATTACTAAGCTCTTCAATTTTAGAAACTGTAGTTCAAAAACTTGGTAGAAATTTACCCTGACAAATAGTCTACCCATCTTGCCCTTCTGCCGTAACCCTCCTCTACACGGCTTGACTACATGTTTCTCTTCATATAGGGTTCTCAAGAAAAGTCAAAACTTTCTTGTTTCTTTGTGCCATTCTCAAGCTGAAAACATTGTGTTTCACCTACTTACATCCTACCTCATTCTGACAAGGTGCTAAAAAAAAAAAAAAAGAATATTCACATGAATCACTTCTGATAGCTAGGAATAATACTATGAACATTTCTTAGCATCAAAGCAATTATCAGGTTTCAAACTCATAGCCTTCAAAGAAAATAGACAAAATTACCAAAGTGTGTCCATATCACCATCCAGTGCTATCACCCTCCCACTTCCTACCACACCCATCCTGCCTCTTCCCTCTGCAGACCAAGCCACTTCAGGGATGCCCCCATTCTTTTCATCCCATTCCTCCACTCTCCCAATGTCAAGCTTCTTTTCCCTCAACTGCCCTCCAAGCCTGGTAGGATAGGGGCTACTGGGGAAGAGAGGCAAGGAAGATTGCGGTTGCAGGAAGTGAAAAAACAAACAACAAAACAAAACAAAAGACTAAGAAAGGAGAAAGGGGGAAAAAATGCTACTGAGATTGAGAAGTATCCACCCATACATTCACTGCCTCTCCCAATGTCAAGCTTCTTTTCCCTCAACTGCCCTCCAAGCCTGGTAGGATAGGGGCTACTGGGGAAGAGAGGCAAGGAAGATTGCGGTTGCAGGAAGTGAAAAAACAAACAACAAAACAAAACAAAAGACTAAGAAAGGAGAAAGGGGGAAAAAATGCTACTGAGATTGAGAAGTATCCACCCATACATTCACTGCCGAAGTATAATCTCGTTCACATTTATGACCAATGATAATAAATTTTATCCTAAGAAAAACTAGTGTATTTAAAAACCTAAGAAGGAGGTCTGACAACTTCTTTTTTTCTTTTATAGCTCGTTCACATTTATGACCAATGATAATAAATTTTATCCTAAGAAAAACTAGTGTATTTAAACGCCTAAGAAGGTGGTCTGACAACTTCTTTTATTCTTTTATAGCTTTGGCAGCGTTATCCAAGAATGAAAAGCCAAGCACTCTAGGCTATGCCTTACTTACCTCACAATCCATATTCCAAACGTATCAGGTTACTACTTTCTGGAACAGGTTATGTATTTTCTCACCTTCGTGTTTTTGTTCAACGTATCATATACCTGGAAAACCGCTATCGAAATACTTCTCAGCACTCTAGGCCCAGCCCAAATATAACTTCCTCTGTGAAGCCATTTCCAACCCTACCAGTCAGAATTAATCGCTTCCTTTCCTGTTCCTCCATCTGTATCTCTAATTGCCACCAGATCAGAGTTGGTTATTTGCACACGTACTTTACTGCTGAACTATGAACTTGAAGGCACAGGTTATACCTGTTCACTTTATCTCCCAAGAATGTATTCTTAGGCCCTTTTATCAGCTCAACTAAATATCTTGGGCATCACAACACAATTCATGGCAAATCTAAGTAAAATATGTATGAGGAGTGACTGCAAAGTACTTTAAAAACCCTGGTGCTACCTCTTTAGAACATGGGACATGGCTGTGATCTTTCTCCATGATCAGCCATCTGAGAACATGTGGAATAGAGAGATCTTTCCATGTTGGCCAAGGGTTCACAAATCTTCCATCTTTTCCTTTCTTTGATTTAGTTACATCTTCCTCTAGTCTATAATCCAGTTTGAAGCTTTTCCTGGAAAACCTAGAAGAATCACTTCCTCCAGAATTGCGTGCTGAATTTTGGCGTTTTCTTACTGCTTCTTTAGGATATTGGCTGCTTGCCATCAGAGACTGGTTGCTTTCATTTTCATCCATATCCTTTGGTGAAGAGCTAAAAAAAAAAAGGAGAGGGGGGGAAAATGGCAGAACACTGTAACATAAAGTTTTTAAAATATATTGCATAGTATTATCTCTTAGCCAATAAAAATTTCCCTAAACTTATAAAATATGTCTCAGGCTAGCAGGTGGCATGGCGGTTAAAGACACTGGACTCCCACATGGTCGACTATGGTTCAAGTCCCAGACCTGGCAACTTGCTTTCTTGATTTCTCTCTCTCTTTCTCACTCTGCCCCTCTCTGGTCAAATTAAAAATAAATACATAAATAAATAAGGTTAAATAAAATGATTCCTTAAAAAATATTATGTCTCTATTAGCTCAAACTTTCTTCCCAAAATATAGTTTTAGAGTACAACATTACTACTTGCTTAGTGAAAAAGATATTTGCATTATCTATTGTATATTTGCCAAGTCTTTCTAAAAATCCCTTATCTGCTGTAATCCAGAACAACATATTTCCTTAGCCATCATCTAAATATATCAAATTTTCTATTTAAATAATATTTTATAGAAGAAATTAAAGCACTTTCATAAATCTGCAAATTTTCATGCATGCATTTAAGAAAAATTGTTAACACATAGCATGGATTGCTTTAGTTCTTTGAGGCTACCCTAGTAATTCAAGTGATTTACATATATCCTCTCTAGACCTAATCACTTTTACATTGACGATCTCTCTTACACATAGCTCTAGAAAGTAGTGAGTCCAATACCTAGAAAAGCAGATAACAAATGGAGAGACATTTCAATAATGTATTTACCTGAGTAATAATACTAATTTAAATTAGATTTAGAGCTGCTAATTTAGCATAGTGAGTATCCTAACCAAATGACCTTGGGCAAGTTTCCTGCCCTCTCTGTGCCTTGATTTTTTCATTTATAAAATGGATAGAATAATATTACCTGTCTCCAACTAAAAAGATGATTTTTAAAATATAAGTAAAGCACTTAGAAAAACAATCACTCACACACACACACACACACACACAAATGCACATGCCCAAAGTTCCATAAAGGTTAGCTGTTACAGCTGACCTTGTTACTACTACTAGTACTAATACCACCACTGCTTAACTCCAAGCATTGAATCCTTGATCTCGAACTACAGAAAGCAAAACTACTACAGACCATTGTTGGCCATGGTCTGAATATATTAAATGGAAAATTCACAAACAATTCATAAGGGTTTCTGTTTGTTTTTTAAAGAGATTTTGCTATGGGGGGTGAGCACCTGCTGGAGACAGAAAGACAGAAAACAAGACATCACACCCCAGGGAGGATGGTCATACCACAATCTCTTCCATTCTCCTCTCAGGATTTTGGGCATGTATGCACATGTGCTCGGTGTGGGTTTTAAGCTGCCCCGTCTGGGACTTGAACTGCAGTCAACTTCATGGGGGTTCAGTGATGTAACCATTACATCATCTGCTAGTCCCACAATTCATACTTTTAAATGCTATATCATAATGTTTACATCATTCACCTCCCTTTATCTCTTCATGTAGACATTTTATTGTCTTGAATCATCACAAGAATGGTGAGTACAGCACAATAAAATATTTCAAGAAAGAGACAAACACATTCACATGACTGTTATTATAGCATATTGTTATAATTGTTCTATTTTATTATTAGTTGTTGTTGTTAATCTCTTACTGTGCCTAATTCATAAATTAAGCTTCATCACAGGGGGCTAGACTATGGCATGTTCATTAATGCTCAAAAATCCTGAAAGGAGGGAGAAATGGAGAAGGGATTACAGTGTGGCCATTTTCCACAGGAGTGCTTTTTCACTCTCTCTCTCTTTTCCCAGAGAGCGCATTCACCCTTAGCAAAACAAACAAAACAAAAAATTTTAAAAATCAGAAACTTTATCATAAGTTTATATGTAGAGAGAGAAAACATAGTATATTCTGTGGTTTCAGGCATTTACAGGGTGTCTTGGAACATCTCCACAGATAAGGATGGACTATTGTATACAAGACTGGATACATAAAAGTGATAAATAATGGATTAAGAACATGCATTTATCTGCTATAAAGTTCATTTATTTTCTGTTCTATTAAACAAATATTTGCCTTTGGGTTAATTCTCTTAAATGCCGTGTATATACCTAACATGCTTTATGACCCTAAGAAAATACGCACAGTAACAGAAAGTCAAATACCATTTGTATAGCTACAAGGAGATAAAGGGAAAGTACAAAACCCCAGGATAAACACGTACAATGAACCAATTTTTTTCCCAAACCATCTAGTGTAAACAGTCACAAATCTAAAGAATAATCACTGTGAAGAAACCAAAACTAACAAAAGCTAAGCACACACCATTGCTCACCATCGCTGTTTGTGGGAGAGCCTAAGAGCAAAGAAAGAGTCTAATGAGCTTTATATCTTGGGCAAATAACCTGTCTAATCCTCCATTTCCTCACTTGTAAAATATCTGTCTACCTGTGGCTGTTTCTAAATGTGAAGTGACATAATAAACATCAAGTACCTGGCACCGACAAATGCTAACTCCTTTGTTACTCCTGTTGACCAGCCATACATCCAAATTCTTTATGTTCTACTAGAGCTTAAGAATGATCTGAGAAAGTTATCTCAGTTCTCACAGAATCATTTTTTCTGGGTTTTGCTTAGGTTTGGGCACAGGCCTTTAAGAAGGGAAGAAATGGAACCAGCAGATGGTATAATGGTTAAGTTGCTGGACTCTCACGTAGTTGACCGCAGTTCAAGTCCCGGACCCAGTGACTTAAAACTCACGCCAGGGACATGTGTATGCACACCCAAAATCTGGAGAGGAGAACGGAGGAGAAAGGACTGTGGTATGGCCATCCCCCCTGGGAGGTGATTTCTCACTTTCTGTCTCTCTGACTCTCCATGTCTCTCTGGTAAGCACATGCCCCCTATAGCAAAAATCTCTCTCTCTTTAAAAAAAAAAAAAAGAAGAGCAGAAACATGACCATCCATTTAATACCTACATTGTTTAACAGATGGCAAGGTACAAGTATAGAGAGTTAAAGTTACTTATTTCTAATAGATGGTACAGCTATAGTGGTGCTACTCTTTATTATGATAAACACCTTGAAATATGTTTATTTATTATAGACACACACACACAGGGGCTTCACAAAATCCATGGAAAATATATATTATGAATAAACTATGCACTGAGTTAAAACTTCTTTGCACAAAAATAAAAATCATACTTTAATTCCATTTTCCATAAACTTTTTGAAATCCTCATAGTCATATACCTATACACATACAATATATAATAATCCTACCAAATATATTAATACATTTTTAGTTCTTTTTGGGGTCTTTTTTTTTTTTTAACTGCCAGCACATGTGCAGGCCAAATACAGGCGGAGAGAGAGAAAACACCCTCCAACAGGGCATGGTCACACTGCAGTCCTTTTTCCTCCATTTCCCTATCCTGTCTGCCTTTGGGGCAGGCAGGAACAAGTGCTCACTGTGTTTTTCAAGCCACCAGAGCCAGGACTGGAACCGGTCAGTCATGTGATTTCTGACTCCCTTCATCACTAGCATACAGGGTCAGCCCCTGGTTCATTGTTTTAAATAATGAGGAGATAAGAGAAAAAGGGAAAATATCCTCTGATCCAAAGACTACAGAAAAGTCAGGATAGAGTTTCTGGACAACATCTAGTAGCTGGGACATAAGAAGCAAGGAAGGCTTGTGAGAGTCATGACTGTGAACATCTAAATAATTGGACCACAAGCCCTGATTGTTTATTATAGAGGTTTGGCTACATTGTAGGCAGTGGGCAAGAAACAACAATGTGGCAAGAAAAAAAAGTGGCTGAAAACTGGAGCCAGGGAGATCAGATTAGTGAATAGGAATTAGAAGCAACCAAGAACAGCCACTAACAGCAACACACTATGTATGCTACGTGTTTCACATATTTATTTGTTAAGCAAAAATTATTGAAGGCCACTTTGTGGAATAAGATCCTGTACTAGGTCCCAAGGAAACAGACTAAGATCAAAACAGCCACTTATAGGACCACCAGTTAGCATAATGGCTATGTCACTGGACTCCCACATAGCCGACAGCGGTTCGAGTCCCGGACCTGGAGGCTTAAACTCACGCCGGGCGCATGTGCGTGCGTGCCCAAGATCCCTAGAGGAGAATGGAGGAGAAGGGATTGTGGCGTGGCCATCCCCCCGGAGGGTGATTTCTGGCTTTCTGTCTCTCTGTCTCTGTCTTTCTGGCGAGCGCACACGTCCTATAGCAAAAACCTCTCCAAAAAAAAAAAAGTTACTCGTGCTAAGCCCCATGTCACTATGCCAAAGCTAAGTTGTTACTGACCATGTAAGAAATGAAGAGATATCTGACCTAACAGGCAGTTTCAATAAGTTCCCTCTATTTAATCCTGACACAAAAGAAGTAACTCAAGTAATTTGATGTTAACCAGTTATTTTCCCATCATTCTATCTCCTTGTCTCCATCTTACACAGTAAGTACTGCAATAACCCATATGCTCTTTGTTTTGTTGTTTGTATTAATTGCCAGAGGGCACATGCACCAGCTGAAGAGAAAGTGAAAAGAAGGAAGGCATGTTTACACTTCAAGCCCTTCTCCATTTTCCCATTGTGTTGGGGTTTGGGACACACGCACATACTCAGCATGATTTTCAAGTTGCCAGGGCTGCAACTCTAACTGACTCAAACCAAAGTCGGCCATGTGGGATCTGGACTTTATATGCACCAGGCAACAAGGCCAGCCCTGCTTTTTGTTCTTTTGTTTCTGTTTTCTTTAGCCCTTTTCTTTTTTTAATAATTATTTTATTTAACTTTATTTATCTATTTGTTCATTTTAAAATTTGATCAGAGAGGGACAGAGTGAGAGAGAGAATGAGAGAGGAAAAGTGATAAAGCAAGCCACCAGGTCTGAGACTCAAACCATAGTTGGCTGTGTAGGAGTCCGGTGCCCTTAATCACCACATCACCTGCCAGGCCCTCTTTAGCCC